GCTAGATTTTTCAAAATATTCTCACTTTCTTAATCAAAACTCTGAACAAAGAAGCACTTGATGGCTGCACTCTGTCAAGCACAACTATCGAGACAGCAAAAGACTCACCGTTTTTCGGCGCCGGTGGAGCTCTGGCTCGCCGGCGTCGGACTATGTATCATCGTCGCTCAACAAACCATCTCACATTGCTGGCACCGAGTTTTTCCGGCGTCAATCACCATCTCGTTAAATTTGGTTCTTATACCCATCGTGGCTCACTCTCCTTCACCATCCTGGCTCCTTGCTTGGAATTAGCCGAAGGTTTACTTCTTGTCGATCTGCTCCGCTTGTGCGCCTCCTCCGGGTTTCATCGCTGCTCATTTATCAATCCACATGAAGCTCAGAAAACAGCCACCGCCGTCGCTCTAGAACCACCAAATGTTTATTCCGGCGTTACCCCGAGCAGTCGAAACCCTACTGTAAAAGGTCCAATTCCAATTCTCTGTGTTTACAATAATATGGGCCTGGTCAAAGATTATCTGTTAGAAAAGTTCTTCTCCGTGAGCAACTCGTCTCCGGTGAAGACAAATCGGCTGGCCGGATCTTCAATCTCCTCCTCGGCCGAGATCTGTCTCGTAGCCGAGGTTGAATCCATCAATACCCTAGCCATCTCGCTTAACCGGCCCCTCTTCATCCTCCCCATGAACTCGCCTTCTGCTCCGGCGAAGATGAAACCCTACCCGCCGCCCTCCCTTCGCGATTCATCCCCCTCCGTAGTCAAATCGTTCCCTCTGAACGGGAAACAAACCAGAAGATCCAGCGAGGGTCGGAGCAGGGTCCGCCAAGAAGATCGACCGGATCTCTCGCACACCGCCATCGCCGGAATCAGTCACGGAGGCCGTCGTTATCCTCTCCACTCCAACGAGACAAAAAATCAAAAAATCGGGCTTGGGCCATTTGGAGTGATAACAATTAGGCTTGGCCCATTGGGAATTTTGGAGCCCTTAGCCCACTAGGCCTTGCATTCAATGAGTTTGAGCCCAATTCAGGTTTTGATTTTTATTTGTTTATGTGTTCATACTCTCCGTCTTACTTTTGGATGTGTATGACACTTTATTAGGGCAGTTATCAGAACCATTCTCATACTTTTCATCGATTTTATTTGCTTTTGAGCTTATCGGATTCTCTTATTTGAGAAATCCAAAGTTTTCTGGATTCTCAAATCCTGTAATTTACTCGCGGTAGACGAGTTCAATTCCACCATCTTCCATCTCTATGAGCATGGTCGTATTTTCTTCCTTCTCATTGAGAGTGGTCGAACCCTCGTGCTTTATGCCGGGAGTTTCAAAGTCACATGGTAAAGTGACTAACCAGAGAATCTTCGGCTTTGCCGCGAAGACCCTTTTGACGCATCCGAGGCATGCTTTGGATCTGCTGTCTATCATCTTCTACGATGAATTATCTGCTCTTTATGTTATTGTACTTCAATTATTACATTTTGATCATCTTACATAATATTATAATTAATTTCAAATATTAAATACAACTCTAACCACCTGACGCTGACCTATATCCTTAGTTACCTCCAAGCTCAAACTAGTGGACAAGTTCTTCATCCATGGATGACTTACATTTACATTGTAATGTCCATGTAACAATAAGATCTCTTCTTCTTCATTCTCGGCATCTGTGATGAAAATCTTGAAAATCTCTGAAGAATATTGCTGCCACTCCTTGAGCAGCTTGTCAATTACATCTCCTGTTTGTGTGTTCTTGAAGTCTTTATCCGCAAGGGTCAGCTTGTCGAACCCAGATACCTCAGGTCCACCAAATATTATGATGCCTTTCACGGCAGGATGGGAATACGCTTCCCTAAGAATTTCTTCAATGTATTTCTCCTATCGAACAATCAAATTAGTCATCAAAATTTATGTTTAGATAATGAATGAAGATGGAGAAAGGATTTCTTGTTAGGCAAGTTATTTGATGACAAACCTGATTAAGGCATTTAGGCATATCAAGCTCCGTAAGCCAGACAGGCAAACATAGAGAGCCTAAAGTATCTAATGCAGATCTTATGTAAGCTAAGTTAGATTGAGTTGGACCAAAATGACCTTGAGCTCCAATTGCTCCTTTGATATTCTGGTTTCCTGGGTATGCAAGAATCTCCTCCATCTTCTTCTTCACTTTAATCGGCGACGCAGTAACCTCTTTAGGGTTTTCTATCGTGTTGTACTCGTTAACGAACAATGTCACACCAGGATCAAGCTTAGAAGCTAGATTGTAGAATCTTGATGAAGCGTTTACGCCAAGCATTTTCTCAAAATAATCCCAATGCAAATTCTCGTTAACCACATCCCACCCGGTTAACTTCCCTTTGTATCTCTTCATAACCGAGTTTATCCGGTTCAATGTCACATTCATCACATCTTTTGGATCTTTTATCTTTTGCACCCAACTTGGCTGCATTTTTGGATTATCCCATAACACAGTATGACCTCTAACTAATATCTCATTCTCTTCCGCAAATTTCAGCATTGAATCGGCTACCGTGTAGTTCTCTCGACCTCGTGCTTTCTCCGTTGCATACCATTTCATTTCATTGGTGAATGATGTGATTTTGAACCGCGATGCAAACCATTTTCTGTACCCTTGGCTTTGTAGGATCCGAAAATTCATACCGCAACCTAAGAGGAAAGACGGCTTGGTTTGTATTAGCGATACCACTGCGCCATTTACCGCGGTTTTGTTCTGATAAGTTACTTCAAATCTCACTTTGCTCTTCCTTATCTGCAAATAACAAGAGTCATATGAGAGCAAAAACAACACACACATAGATGTAATATATGATAGACCAAAAGACCAGCACTAAAAAATGAGTTTGCGGACTGGTCCATGTTTGTTTCAAAGCCTAGTCTTGCCATAGGCCAAACGGAGTGGGTAAAATCGCCCAGCTCGTCACTCTTTTTGGTTTTTATCATTGGCCATGAATCATTGATAACTTGGTTCAAAAAATTTAGATTACGACACAAAATGACTGGAGTTAATATAAGAATGTTCAGATATGGGCTAGGCCGACCAAATAGTTTTATTTGGATTTATATCAATGCTACCTTTTCAATAAGTTGGTCTTGTTTCTGGTTCCATTCTTCTTTGCTAAACCGTTTTAGCAACACATTGCTTGCAGAGATCTTTGCTTCTTCATCATCACTCTGCCTTCAAATTAATCAAGCGTTAACACAGAATATATATACGTATGTATCTATACAAACATATGAATACACATGTACAACCTCGAAGAATATATTTACAAGGCCTGAAACATCTGGTACAATGCCACCTTTAAGCAAAGACCAACATCCTTGCTTTGCCCTAACTTCACCTCCATGAACAAGTCTTCCATTTTCTGTTTTGAACACAACTCCTACTTTCTTGTCGTTTCCTTCTCTCAATTTTACCCAAGCTGTATTTCCATTAAAAAATAAATTATGAATATTGAATCTAGATTAACAAAACCGATCCAAACTGGAAGAAACCATCTAAATTATCATTAAATCATGAACACACACAGTATAAGGAATTGACCCAAAGATGAAGAATCTCTGGTTAAATATAGTAACTTAGTAGACAAGAAACCTAGAAATGATGATGTACATATATATTACGTAAACTAAATAATGGGTTGCATATGTATATATATTACCAGAGAAGCTGTAAATGTTTCCTTGATGCAGCTCAATTCTTTGTGACATTTCTCTAATAACTCCATTTGCCTCAATCTCCCATTCTTGATCCGAGTCATCTTCCACAGAGCGGTTAAATAGTAATAATCCTTGTGTTTCACTGCTTCGTGGAGGTTTCATTAGACACTTCATATATACAACAGTTTACAATAGTTAGAAATTTTGGATTAAGAAAAATAGAAATCATTTCTGTGATATATATATCTACTTGTTGAGGTTTTATCAGTCTTGGTAATTACCTCTGTTCTGAGAGAGTTGCTATATGAGAAAGGATCAATGGCATTCCCTGAATGCACAAGACACAAGAGAAGAAAAAGCATGCAGAGGAAGAAGCCATTGATGATATTCTTCATCTTCCTTACTGTAAAAACTGAAAAAACTAATTATATAAAGCTTTAAAGCTGTCAGATTCTACTGTATTCTTATACTGAAAAAGGTTTTTTATCATATAAATATACTTTCTTCTTCTTTTTTTTTCTACGGAAAAAGACTACAAACAACTCAATGTGAAACAAATATGTAAGAACTACATAGAACGTACACCACCTACCTTTAAGTAACAATATCCTAAGACCCCTTCTCAAAGCAAAAAAAAAACTATAGAACTTAATCGGGTAAAAATAACTTTTAAGCAAATAAAATTCTTGTATATTTTGATTTCTTTTATGCATTGAAAAGTATGTTAAATAATAAATAGATAGTAAATCTCTTAAAATTCAAAGTCGTAGTTATGGAACCAAACAAGAAAATGATTTTTTTTTGCTGAACCTATGAACACCTGGAAATGAGAACAAGATGTTGGATTTAACGAGTGGCTAAAGTTTCTGCCCCGTGAAACATTTTTGGAGTTATACTTATATGTCGAAGCACTTGTTGTGTGACTGGTGCTATAGTGAGCTGAAACTTTTTCCATCTTTTCGACATGTGATTGCGTCAACATACGAAAAACTGGCTAATTCACCACATCGTCACTAAAATATGATTCACACATCATAATGACGAGGCTATATCATTAATATAGATGGAGTTGCACAAAAGCATTTTCAAATGAAAAGCTTGCAAGCAAATATTTTGTTTGGTTGGAGTAAAATCGACCAAAAACCACAATTATAACATAGCCGTTACGTAATATTTTCGATTGCTATAAAAGTTGTAGTGAAATACAAATCAGACACGCAGTACAACAAAATAAGGTAGCAAAACAAACATAAAATATAAAGTTGCGTCATAAAGACTAGAGAAATTTCAAAAAATACCACTTGTTTACAAAAATGCCACATTTTTGAAATTTTTACAAAAATGCCACTTTTTCAAAATTATTTTTTCTTTATATTATTTATGTTTGGGTTAATTATGTTCTATTAAAGTTTAGTTTTGAGTGTTTAGGGGGTTTTAGGTGTCAAAACATTTTTTAGGGTTTAAAATTTTAAGATATAGGCTTTATAAATGTATAATTAGTGACATTTTTGTAAATGGACACCCCTAAATGACATTCTTACAAATATGCACTAAAAAAATGGCATTTTTGTAAATAGACACCCCTAAGTGACATTTTTACAAATATGCACTAAAAAAATGGCATTTTTGTAATTGCTCCTAGAGACTAATCAATTATGTGAAATGACATGCAAGATACGGGTGATTAACTCGGTTATGGGCCGGGTGTGGTTGGGAGACG